TATATATATATATATATATATATATATATATATACTACTACTATAGTAGTAGTATAGTAGTACTATATATATATATATATATATATATATATAGTATATATATATACTTACACGTACATACACACACACAAACATATATATATATATATATATATATATATTTATATTTATATTTATATTTCTTTTTATATATACACATACACACTCACATACGTATATATATCAATAAAACTATATATATTAATAAGTACTATTATGTATATATATATATATATATTATTATATATGTATATAAACATTATATATATATATATATTTATATTTATATGTATATATATATATATATATATATATATATATGTATATATATAAATATCTATCTATATATATATATATATATATATATACATATATCAATGTATGTGTATATATTTACACACACACACTGTATATATTTATATATATTTACTTATATCTATGTATATATCTATATCTATATCTATATATATATATATATATATATATATATATGTAGATATATATGTATATATATATATGTGTGTGTGTGTATTTATGTGTATATATACATATGGATATATTAATTTATTCTGATATATTTAATTGAATAATATGCAGCGATACCGACGACTGTTCCTTGTCAAGGAGACAATGTGCCAAGAAAAAACCTTTGATATGTCACTATGGGGTTTGCGCAATACAGTTTATCTCGTCAGCCAAGAACAACACTTCTACTGTGTGGCACCTGTTTCGAACGGACCAAGATTAACCGCGACTGCTTTACTTGCATATTAGGTATATGCATCTATAGGTTGTATAGGTACACATAACAAATATAAATAAATACGCTATTTGGCATCAGCTTCTTTGAGCTAAAATATCTGCCATCATTTGCTTCCTGGCCTGCAATTGTTCCCCATGGAGGTGGCCCAGATGCAAGTCAGTGTTGCCCTGGCTCTCCTCGTGGACCTTCATGTCCAATAGTTTGAACCTTAGCAGTTCCTCTAGGATCTCCATCTTGCACGGCTGCCTCTTGGGTTTCTTAAACACACGATGTTTCTCCTTGAACGATTTCCTATCGTACTGTTTCGATCCAAAGGCATCCACAACCCTGACATTGCGGTCGAATGAAACACGTTGTCTAGCCATTTGGCCGTAAACAAACTGGCTATTATGATGTAAGTTGGGTAGGCTTCCGAAGGGAGCCCCCTGCGATGGCATGTTAAAGTACATATCCGTACTCGAAGGGGATACAGCCATCGGCGAGGTCCCACTACCATTCATCATCATTGCCGATGAAGGGCGTTGGTTGGGCACAGTTAATGGCATATAATCCATACTCCTAGCTACCGTTTGTGTTTGCCTAGTAGCTGGCTGGTTTGCTGACAGCGTATCCACGTATGGTGTCAGCAGATCCAGGCTCATCTGAGATAGCCTAGGGACTGATTTTTTACGCCTCGGCTGGATCATCGCTGCCACAGTCTGCGCGTTAAGGTTGGATTGCATACTCGTATTCCGTGTCAAGGGCGAATGTCTAGGTGCAGCGTGAGCAGGGCTACTGGCCGCGGACATTCGTCGAGAAGCTTGGGTTGTATTCCCCCGGGGAAAGTATACATTGCCTGAGGCTTGGTTGTATGGAGGTGTTGATGTTGGTAGTGGGCTGAGTGTGGGTTTAGGTGTCGGGCTATGTGTAGGGCTATGTGTAGATGTTAGTATAGGACTACGTGTACTCAACTGTAAGTTGTCAACACTTTGCGGTACAATAAACCGCGATTGTGGCTGTTTGCGCATCTCACTGGCCCTTGCGCCAGACTGAGGTGAGTTTTGAGAGAACAGCTGAGTGGAGGAGTGTGACTGTATCACAAGCGAGTTAGGTCTCCGACTGGCAGGCACAGGATCTACAGGTTCACTGGTACAGTAGTGAGATGTAGGTCTGCTGGGACTTCCAACCGAGATAATTCGAGACTGTACGCCCTTATGCAAAGTATTAAATTCCGATTCATTTGCTGCTTGGAATGTGTGGTTCTTAAGAATTCCATTGGCATTCGCCTTGTCGTTACTTGTCTGGTTGACTAGGATCCCGTTGGGAATGCCCTTTACATTATCGCTCGACAGACTCTCACCCTTTCTCAACGCAGACTCGACGCTAGATTCGGGTGCATTAGAGATCGGACCGGTACTGACGACGGTATTGCGGGTGACTGAGGTATCGGTCCCATAACCGCTTTGTGACCGTTGCCGGGCGAAGGTTTGTCGGAGGTGTAGCTGTGGACTGGACCGAGTTGCTGGCGAGGGGTGCGACCGGATATTCGGAATAGCCGGTTTGCTACTGTACGTCTGCTGGCGTACTTGACTATGGTCTGATGGTATACTCCCCATATCGGATACACTACCCACGTCTGAGCCGAGAGATAAGTTACGGCGAAGTGGCCGATGCTGGGAATTTACGTCCGAATTAGTATCGCTGCTCTGCAAGTTTTGGTCGCTCTGGCATCCTTTCAGGCTAGTTTCCCATGTGTACAAGTCACTACTCGGCTTGACTGAAGAACGCGGTGTAGCCATACGAGTTGCTTGTATACTACAATTCAAGTCGCGCGTTTCCAGTCCATTTAACTTGTGCGCCGCATACTTATCTATATCGAGTTCGGCCTGTGCTATGGCCGTATCATCATCCAAGGACTGTGCGGATGGAGCCTTTCCCAACGTATTGTACGTGCTTCCTTTTTTCTGTTTCCTCTTAGAATCCAGAAGGAAATTCCCCAGCTTGTCTAAAGATTTACCCAGAGAATGCTTGGCGAGTAAGTCGTCCGCGTGGTCTATGAGCGACATACGCTTCGAATCCGCATTTGTGTTCGTGTTTGGATTTGTAGTTGGAATAGTCGCATCTGCTGCGTGTACTGTTGCAAGTGCAGACCCTCTAATTTTGCTCTGCTCGGGATCGTTCTGCACAACGGGCCCCGCTCCGCTGCCGTCCGTATGAATCGAGTGTTCATCGTTCTCGAACGGTTTTGCAGTCTTATCTGCATCGAACCCTGTGCTTGTCTCGATTCGAGCTTGATTTACTGTTGTGAATTTCTTTCGCCTTAAAAATTGGGATGGGTTCAAACATTCGTCAGATAGGTCGATGGGTGGCTTACTATCCACACAATCAGTCGGTGACGCTGATGGCACGTCACAAGGCGGTGCGAGCACACCTATTTCAGCGGCTAATATAGCACTCTGTCTGCGCCTCTGTACAACTACCTTGCGAGACTTGGGAGTTTTAATACTCGATCTGTCCTTGAGTGGTGCGGTCTGTGCGATTGGGGTACTGCCCCCAGACTGAAAGCTGTCCCCGTACACTGGTTCACTAACCGTGACTGAATCGTCAATGTCGCCATCGTATCCTTTCAGTTTTCCCGTTGTAAAGAGAGACGTCGCAGGAGGTCTGCACGGTTGTGAAGAACGCTCATATGATAGTGAATCCTTCAAGGTGGTGCGAACACTAACTATTTTTCTAGCCATTGGTATTGCGTTTGTTGTTCTTCGAATGTTTACACCCCCAGGAAGATGAGTACTAGAAAGGAAGATGAGTACTAGATTTGAACACAAACACAACTCGGTCGGCATATGATACTTTAGTCAGCTATCAGAAACAACATAATAACAAACAACCTATCACTAGCACCAACAAGCCATAATAAAGATAGGCGACAAGTCAGGTATTGAAGTCTAAAATTAGGGTTGCTAACTTACTAGAGCCAACATATGGCGCCTTGACGTGATATTTTACATAAATACATCACGAGTATTTATAGCACTGCTTCAGTGCTTCCGCCTTTGTTATTGCTTTTTTGTTGAAAAACAATATGTACAAATTTTAAAAGGCTATGAAATAATTCAATTTAAAAAAAATGGCTTTTAAAAAAAAGAGGGGGGATTTTTACTATAGAGGCTCACCTAGAGCCTCAGAGGCACGTTTAAAATAAAAGTACCTATCTCATTGACAGTTAGAATACTCAAATTATTTGTCTTGACCAGTTAGAAACGTTAATCTCATCCCTATCGGCTTATTGGTTCAAAAGTTTGTACCAATACTGAAAACTGAGCCAAATTAGCCAAACGTATGTCTAAAGCATCATACAAGTCAATCCATACCTATTACAGACCTTTCTGGCATTATAGTATACTTTTTAAAATACGTCTATGGTGTGTAATATATGTGCGCGTATATCGAGTCTGGACGTGTAATTTGGGTACCTCAAATTCTCACTGGTATAAAAGGTACTGGTTAGATTTTAGAATTAGAGAAAATCAGTTCACATATAAACCTCAAGACCGGCGGGGATTTTACTATGGAGGTTGACCCAGATGTATATTAACAAATATATCCCATTGGTCATTAAATAGTTCATATTGTTCGCATTGACGAGTAATAAACACATACTTAATCTCATCCCGATCGGACTATTGATTCAAAAGTTACAGAGAATTTGGTTTATACCAGAGTTGGATCAAACTAGCCAACCATGAGCAACTTCCCCATATTTATTTTTCACTTCCCCATATCTATTTTTCACGACGGACCTTTGATTCAAATTTTCGCCTCCGAAACGTAAATCTCGGTGACCAGTAGGTCACCAGTGTAGAACTGAATACCACTTTCAAAAAAACCCACAGACTCCACCAAAACGTTGACTTGAAATTTGGTTTTTCAATCATTTTATTTATTTATTTATCCAGTAGGGAGTCTGGGGACCCACAGTCCCACAGTCCCACAGTCCCACGGTCCCACAGTCCCATATCCGAGGAAAATGTCGGGCCAGGCCGAATCCCCAATTTAGACGTTCGTCCCCAACGACTCCTTGCTCAATGAACAATGGAAATTGGACATACAAAAATCTATCACAAACCTCTCTGCCCAGGTCAGTACTCTACAGGTCAATCTCAATCAAATTTTGGGACCGGCTCTAACAACCCCGAACAATGATGGGCCCATCTCCAAGGAGCCTTTGACTGATAACCAATGGAAATCAACCATACACCAAATGCTCACTAACCTCTGTGCAAAAACAACCAACCTTGAATCCGAACTCCGGGACCTTAAAATCCCAAACCCGTGCACCTATAGATGAAGACACGCCCGACACATTCCGATTTGGCTCCACAAGCCCGCCTGCTCCGCCTGCAAAAAGACCGCGGTCACAGGCGCCCAATAGCAGCAGTGAGCCTCCCAGCTACCGCTCAAAAGTGGACAAACCTGCAAAACCGAGCCCTAAAAAACGCCCGACCCCACCAGCTTCTCAGTCCCAATCGCAGCCGCCAGTACCCGAACACCTTTTGACGAAAATGGTGGGCCGCCCGATACCGGACAAAACTCTTCATGAAATGGATGACATAACTCCGGTATGGCTCGTCTTCCGAGAAATTTCCCTAACGGCAAGCCCCCATCCCAATCAGTTTTCTTTCTCTGGTATCTCTAAATCGGTATCTCAACCAAATCGCCGCGGAAGCTCCACCAGTTTCATCCGCCTTTGTGTTCCTATCGACTCTGTCGCCCATGTGAAACGACATGCAGCACTTACGTGAAAATGGCAGCTTGATGAAAACATCGACCCCCGCTACCAACAACATCCCGACGCTACGAAAGCAGCTTTAATTCACTATCTCCGCACCAAGCGGGAGGCCCGCTGCACACATGAACGAGCGCCAAAAATTCTTGCCCGCATCATGGATGCACTACTGAGCCCACTTGTCAACTCCACTAACGCAGACATCCTCCATTCTACCGCGGACCGTCTCCAGAAGGCTTACCAAGCAAGGCATGATGAAAACCTCTTCTCACTTAACCCGTGAATCCAGGTAAACGCTAAAGAATCAGCGCGTGCGGAACCCGGACGACTTCATATACCAACGGTCTCCCCGACACAATCATCCGACACGATGGACAGCAATACGCAGCCTCAGCTTTCCACGACGGACTCTTCGAGGACAGGCAATGATATAGAAATGGCTGAGATCGTCAAAGAGGATAGCCCAGTAGTATTGACCGATGATGAAAAATGTTAGGACTAATGAGGATGAAGGACTCAACATGGACAACGCAGCACATACAGATAAGTGTTTGAACGTTATATCGATTTTAAGTCAGGTTGATGTTATGTGTGTGGTTGAAACCTGGCATAACACCACATTTCTTAATCATATACGCTCGAACACACGCTATCATATACTACATCACACTACACGGCATAATATCTTACACCCTTCACACTGTGGTATTGGTATCTTTTCCAAACACCACCCATCGAAATTTCAACTTGTACACTCTTCACCGTACGCGGTGTTCTTTGTGTACTTTGACGCTCATATGGCCGTGTTCTACTTTCTACTCAAATTGCTTACAGAAGAAGATGTAGAAATACGGCCTCCGGTCAGTCTAAAATATCAAGATCAAATGAGATAACACGTTGGTTTTTATTTGTATTTAAAATAATTAAATA